TATACAATTCTTTTTCAAACAAATCATCCCCTGAAATTAACTAAAACCAATGATTTTAACTTTCTCTGGTTGATCCCAGTACAGGGCCCAGCCTGACACTTCCCATCCCCGATCTCTGAGAAGCTTCCCCAGAACACCGTATCCAAGTCTCTGCCTTTGGCAATAACCTGACAAATAAATGTTTCTATGTAAACATAAAATTATCCTGTTGGAAATTTCAGAATAAATTAATTATAATGACTTCCATAAAAGTAAGGCTACTTTTAGCTTATACTTTAACATATCACATAATTATCCTTTTCCCTCATCCTGATATAGTTCCCCTGGATGAGGGGCTCTCCTTCAATCACCATTTCAAATATTTTATAAGGACATCAGAATAGAGGTCTCACAATCATTGTGGTGATCTCCCTTGAAAACACCCTTTGAATGGTTTTCCTGAATCCACTAACATTATATCATATTTTAACCAAATTATGAAAAAGCAGCCCACTTAAAAATAAGGGATCTCAACAGACATTTCTGCAAGAAAACCTAGAGATGGCCAATAAGCACATGAAAAACTGCAATACCATTAGCTATCTGGGGAATGTAAATAAAAACACGTGAAGACACCATTTCATATCCTCAAGGGTGAGCACAATCAATACAATAAGCATTAGCAAAGTTGTACAGAAGTTGTTTCACACACTACTGATGAATATGAGGATGCAATTCTTTGGGAACAATCTAGAAGTTTCTCAAAAGGTTACACACTGAGTTATATGGTCCAACATTTCTATTTCTAGGCATGTACTCAAGAGAATTGAAAACATATGTCCATTCAAAAACTTGTATACAAAAGTTTATACTGGGATTATTTTTAATAACCAAAAAGTGCAAAAAAAAATCCCCTCCAACATCCACTAACCACAGAACAGTTGAAAAAAATCTATGTCCATGCAGTGAAACATTATTCCAAAATCAAAAGGAATGGAGTACTAACGCATGATACAACATGATGAACCTTGGAAATATTATGCTAAGTAAAAGAAGCCAATTACAAACTACATATTATAAGATTCCATGTGTACAAAATGTCTAGAAGCAAATCCACAGGGACAGAGATTAGTGTTTGCCCATAGTCAGGAATGATGAGGAAGGACTGCTCAAGGGTTCAAGGTTTCTTTCTAGAATGTTCTAAAATTGTGATGATAGTTGCACAACTCTGTGAAAACACTGGAAACCACTGATTTGTTAAACAACAACAAAAAGTATACGGTATTCTTCAACCTGAAGAATCTATCTCCTTCTGACATTCTAAGCACCCAGCACCACAATGTTTCATAAATAGATCAGAAAAGTGGTTTCTCCACTGGACAAGATAAAATACTGTATCTGGAACAATGCTATCTTTACAGCTGATGGCAATTTAGTTGGAAATATTTTACATTTTTCTGTCAGTGTGTGTGGTGCCGCATACCTGTATTCTGGGAAGTAGAGGCAGGGACATTGCAAGTTTGAGCCTAGCCTTAGCAATTTAGCAAGACTCTGTCTCAAAATAATAAAGGAAAAAAAGGGTGGGGGATGTATCTCCGTACAAAGACCCTGGGTTCAACCCCCAGTATTAAAATAAAATAAAACTTTCAAACAATCAGTGACAAATTTCAAAAGCCTTAATTGTCAGTACCTTATTTCCGAGAGCTTTCTATTACATATGTAAAAAGTGAATGTGTGCATGAAACTGCTTACAATAGGTACTGGAAAAGCAGGTTATAATATATGCAGTTATAAAGACATATCTCTTCATATGCAAAAGTCCTAGAATGAAGTAGGCAAATGGTAGCAATCGTTCTTTAAGATTTTCAATGTAGTTCTCATTTTATTTTTAGAGGAAAAAAAAAATGTTTCAATATAAATAGGAAGAAGCTTCTTCTACATCATTGGTCCTAAGCCAGAAATAAGTCTTTAAATTGGATTCATTCCATGGCAAGTTTATAATCCTAGAAAATTTTTGACTTTCTTTATTCATCTCGTAGACATGATTAAAAACAATAGTTATATCAACTCTTATGAATCCTCCACAAATGCTCCCAAGCTTGATCCAGGGAGCCCTCCTCTGGAGATGTGGGAGAACTTCAGTCTGGAGTTCACGTATAAGCTTTGCCAGAACGACTCCAAGGAAGAAAAAGTCTCTCATAAAATACCTGAGTTAGCATCTTTGTGTCTAGCTTATGCTAACCGAACACCAGAGGCAACCTAATTAAGCATCACACTTTAGGAAATAATGGAGAAGAAATTCTCATCAGAATCATCAAAAAATATACAGCTAATCACTGGGTCAAATCCATCTGGTCCCATTCATCTCGCTTGAAAACAAAGGCTGTCTAGAAAAAGATTCGTTCCAAAATGAATTTCTGCTTCTGCAACATGCTAGTGAAAATGACTGCTCATAATTCTTGGAAGATGAGTAAATAAAACCATGTTTCCTGACTTAGCAATTTATCTTAGCAGCACTTTATTGCTGATATTGACTCTGTATTTTAAATGCAGACCGTTACTAATTACAAATAAAATATATACATCCTATTATAACCTATAAGCAACCTCGCTCATATTTGACCTGTGCACATGCCATGGTGGGTGTTTGGAACACAAAGAAATGCTAACAGGTGTTCACATCTGCAGGAACCAGAGACACTCAGAAAGACAGGGAAGAAGTGGATAAATACTGAAAACACGAGCCTAAAAAAACTACAAAAAAAAGAGTCATCCAGTGAGTCTTTCTTTGCTCAGGAAAAGCGTTGGTCTTTGTGTGGCGGCTGCAGTCGAGTCATGGGCTGAACACTCCTCCAGGAAGGGCAGCATTTGCCCAAGCATGAGGAAGAAAAGGGCACTTTCGGCCCAGTGTGTGTATGAGCCCGCGCCTGCTGTAGCAGGATCCACCTCCTGCCTGGGGAAAGGTGAATAACCCAATGCAAGAGCAGAGAGGAACAAGACAGAAAGTTCTGCAGAGACACTAGCCATAGGACGGTGAGTCTTGAAATCCGGTCCAAGCTTTGGCTGTCACTTTCTAACACAGAAGCCCTAGGCCAGGAAACCAGGTAATATTGCATCAACTGACATTCAAAGTAATAAACCCTGAACCCAAATGATGGAACTGGAAATAGAAAGAAAAGACCCTGGAGATATTTGCCTAAAAGGAAGAAATATAAATAAGAGAACTTGGCCTTTGTCCCACACCCAGCCAACTATTTAAGGGAAGCATTCAGATAAGTACTTGGCAAAAGAATGAGTGCTGCAGAAAACTACACGGGCACCAAAGCGGGGGGGGGGCTGGGCAACTGCCCCACGGTTCTAGGAGGCGGTATAAAGCTGTCTGCTGGCCACCTTCTTTCCGGAAGCTGACTTTGTCTTTTCTTATTTTAATGTTGCGGTAGTACCCACAAGTTATTGTCTTTCTTAACAAGCACCAAGGATATATTTCAAAGACCAGATATGACTCATTCTCTTGTCATTAGCCTATCATATTTTTAAGTGCAACATACACAAATATAAACTTGAAGAACGTATAATTTAGTGGTGATTCTATATTGTCAAAAAGCAAAAGAAAAAGTAAAATAAAATAATAAAAGGAAAAAGCAGGCTAGGGATATAACTCAGTGGCACAGAGCCTACCTGGCAAGTGCAAGATTGTGAGTTTGATTCCCAGTACAAAAAAAGAAGGAAAAAGCCAAATACGGCAGTACAGTGGCACATGCCTGTAATCCCAGCATGCGGGAGGCTGAGGCAGGAAGATTGCTGCAACTTCGAGGCCAGCCTGGGCTACAAAGTGAGCTCAAGGCCAGCCTGAATGGCATAATGAAACCCTATCTCAAAAAGAAAAAAAGAAAAAAAAAAAGGCAAAAAGCTATATGTGAGATTTCTTTAAGTAACAAAGTTCTCCAGGTTCAATCTGAAGACCTTATAATTAAATACATGACCACCTGTTTTTGTTTTTTTTTCAGTAGTCCCACTGCAGTTCACTCACACACATACACACACGGGCAAATACAATCATAGGCTACTGATTACATAAGTAAACTTTTCCTGCAGCATTGGTCAAGATATTAATAATCTTCAATTACTTTATGAAACTTTTTGTAGAAATCAGATCTATAAATGTGCATCCCCATCACTTTATTGATCGCCATTTTTTTTTTTTATATTGGGAATCAAACTCAGGACTTCATGCTTGCCAGACGGGTGCTATGCCCCTAAGCTATATCCCCGGCCCCATCACCTTGTTGAAATTCTTAAACCAAAATGATAGCCTAAGATTTGTAAAGTAAAGGTTGTGATGTTGGTTTTTTCATAAAAATCACGTAATCTCTTATATTCAAAAGTCTTGGTTGAATGTGATGTCTTAAGCAGGGTAAAGCTAGGAAGAAAGAAAGCACTGAGGTCTGATAAACTGGCCAGTCCTATGAAAGCAAGGTATATAATCTGATGCTCTGAAAGAATAAAAAAAAAGAGAAGCCACTGGGATAGATGTTGGCAGAATTGAGTGCAATTAAAGAGGAGGATTCTAAAATAAAAAATTATGAGTGAGTAAAACCGGAGTGTTCTAATTAATAGAACTATATAATTCCCTACCGCGGAACAAGCAGAACTGTAATGGTAATAAACGCTATCAAGATAAAAACTTACTTGAACTGTAAAACGCAGTCAGCTAATACATTTGTTATTCCAAAAAGCTACCCAGTGGCTTCTTCATTTAAAGTGAGGAAACTACCACATAAGCATTAATTACTATCCACCCCAAGCCAAGGCGCTCTTGGTAATTTTCGTTTCCTGAACTAAGATATCTCATCAGTTCAGAGCTGGAAGCATTCCTACTGCCCTTTTTGCTACACCATAAAGCCATCGATCTACAGCAGGACTATTTAGATGATTCCTACATCCTCTCCTCTCCCGCCTGCTCCAGTCTTTGCCCTGGAGAAAGGGGCTCCGGGGTGAGCGCTCAGAGGGAAAGTACTTACTTCCTTTCCTCAAGCAGGGCGATCTCTCTTTTGACTTCATGGTATTCCTCTGCGATTTGGCAGTGCTGTTTGTACACCTGCATGGATTCTGCTGAGTCATGACAAGGTGGCAGAGGCTTCACAAACGAGAGGGAGAAACAGCAGTGAGTTCATTGCTTTGCGTCAGGAGACATTTCCCACCGTTTCGCTCCGCGGCCATTCTTCTGAGGGAGACTTTTTGCATGAAAGCAGCACTGTCAGTGAACACTGAACAGAGTTTGACTGATTCTGTTTGACTGAAGGTGGAGGCACGGACCTATCCTGCCCACACACAGAGTCCTGAGACCCTTTACATGTCACTTACTTGCCTTGTGTTGGAGGAAAAATGTCTCATAATGTTTTACGATTCCCCCTAGAAATCCTCACCTGCTTTAGAAAGGGATAGTTATGGGGAAATACTTCAGTTATCTGTTTGCATCGCCCCATCCTGGCTGCTTCAGTGGCTGGCAGCCACCATCCCGCTGCAGGGTGGAGTAGCCCCACAGGAAGGACTCTTCTGAGAAAAGCACGCGACCCGGAGAAGAGCCACTGGGCTGGAAATACTGCTTACCAGAATTAATAAACCTGTGTGAAAGCTCAAACTCTGAATAATATGCTTGGAATATGAGGACATGAGAGCACAGATTTGTGTTTCTCCTTCTCTCCCCGTCCGTGAGAGGAAAAAAGCCAGCTTGGCAACCCTCTCTGAACAGAAAATGGTAAAAATTCCACTTCTAGAATTTTTTTTGAGTCAGGGTCTCAATGTGCAGTTCAGGCTGACCTTTAGCTCACTATGTAACCCAGGCTGGTCTCGAACTCACGGTGATCCTTCTATCTCAGCCTCTCAAGTGCAGGGATTACAAGCATCTGCCACCACGCCTGTCTTATTTTTTAAAAACTAGTTTTCCTGGGTTTATGATTCTAGTTTCATTAGTAACATGTGACTAAAAGCATTATTTTTATAGGGACACTAGTTGATTGTCACGTAAAGAGTTTTCATAATAATTCTTTTAAATTATTTGCGTATAAAAATATGAGAAATAGGAATCATTGTTTTGTGTGTATGTGCGTGGTACAGGAATCAAACTCAGAGCCTCGCGATTGCCATGCAGGCATTGTGCCGCTGAGCTACATCCCTCACCCAAATTCGTTGTTAAACAGACTCTTCAGTCCCACCCTTTCTTCACAATAGTCTATCCATGTAAACTATATCTGACCAACTCTTATTCTCACCGATTTTATATTAACTTTTGAGAGCTATGAATCCTTTATTTTCTTCCCTTATAGTCTTCAAAGACACAAATTTCTTTGAGTGTCATATTCAGGGATCCTTCACAGACAAGAAAGTAGAAGGGAAACCATTATTAGACAAGAGGAAAGGAAGAGGGGGAGGGGAAAGCGGGGCGGGGGAGGTGAGGGCAGGGAAGAGGAACAGGAAGACATGTAAAACACATCAGGCACACAGAAGCTTCCCCCAAAGATGTGAACCTGGAGCGGGTGTGGCAGTGGCGGTGCAGGGAGGTGGGTGATTACAGGGTTATGTGCGTGTGCAAATCTGCCAAAATGAAACCCCTGAATTTGTATAACTGATATGTACTAATAACCAGTGTAGGAAAAAACTGTTATAAAAATTCAAAGGGTATTGTTTTATTGATAAATAAGGTGACCCCATTTATTCATTATGAGATCTCTGAGTAGAGATTTCTAAACGAAATAAAAGGGGAAGAAGGGTTGAAGAGAGGGGAGGGGAATGGGGGAAAAAAAGAGAAACTAAGATATTTCATGTACAGGTACAAATTCCCTACTCTGATTGTGATCATTATGCATACTGTATCTAAAATGTACCAATAGGAGCTGGGGATTTAGCTCAGTGGCACAGCACCTGCCTGGCAAGCTCAAGGTTGTGAGTTCGATTCCTAGTACCAGAAGAAAAACAAAACAAAACAAAAAACAAACAAATAAATTGTACCAATAAACTTAATTATTAAAAAAGAAAAGAAAAGAAGGAAAATTAAATAGCTAAACACACGTATTGGAATGTCACAGTAAGCCCCGTTAATATGTACAATGAATGTATTTATTAAAAAGTAAAAACTTTAAAAGATTTTTAAAATTCTAAGTAGTTCAGGGTCAACTTTACCTTCACTTGAAACATTGTTATCACCTAATTCATGTAAGATCTAATAATAATCATATCATATAGCCTCTTTCTCTGCTGCTCTATGAAGATAGAGCATAAACAGCCCATTGGAACTATTACCCCTTCTTATATAGAAATAAGTTGAAAAGTAGTGAACGGTAGAATTATGTTCTAATTCATTCCTTGAGAGGAAGCTGTTGCCAAAGGAATTCAGAACTCCTGGTTCCTCCAGTCCATATCCCAGAAATTGCCACCCACTCACCAATTTTCACCTGTTCAGCTGGCAAATGACCAGGTGTAACAGTCAGCGGAATGTAAGCAATGTACGCTGGGCTTCCTAGCCAAGCTGTTAAATCATCTGTGCCCTGTGAAAGTATTTAACTGCTGGCAGCCTTAGACACCAGCCACATCCTATCCTGTCCTTACGAATACCACACACGCCACACTCCATTCAAATGAGACTCTGATACATAACTTGCCACTTGCAAGCGGGAGGATCACAAATGAGGCATAGGTAGGCATGCAACAGCCAGAAGATTCTAGAATTCTGTTCCAAGGATTCACAAGCTTAAGGGAATCTACCCAAGAACAACTCTAATTCAAAAGAAAAATTTAAAAATCACATGTATAATTATTTGGGCAGACAGAGATTTCTTTTCCTTCCCATCCCTTGCTTACCACTTTGCAAAGTTTTTTGAATTAAGTGAGAAATTTTTTTCATATTTTGTTGGCCTTCTTAATTGTGGGAAATTTAAAAGCAGAATGCTGCTGAAGGCGCACAAGGGAAGAAACGTAGTACTTCAGAATGTTTTTAATATCCTCATAAGCTCTTAGCAAAATAATCATGTGACCTATATGTAATCATGTCTTCCAAGCTTTCCTACAATAAACAAGTGGCAATTTAACAAGAATAAGCAACTGGGCATGGTAATGCACACCTCTAATTCCAGCTACTTAGGAGGCTGAAGCAGGAGGACCACAAGTTTGAGGTCAATCTGGGCAATATCACAAGACCCTGTCTCAAGATTACAAAACAAAATAAAATATAATTTAAAGGGCTTGGATATATCTCATAGCTTCCTGGATTCCAACCCCAGTACCACCCAAAAGTACCAGCCAAAAATACTGAATGCTCAGATGTTTCCGTAAATAAAAGGATAGAGGCAGGTATCATATCAGCCTCTAGCTACGAGGCTCTGTCCTTACCCAAATCTGGCATATATAATTTGGTACCACCCAGAGACTCCCAATTTTCACAAAAATATAAAAGAGCAATACTGATTTCTTTTCTAAGCAAGAAAAAATATTATTTTACACAAGCCACCATAACATTGTAAAATTATCTCATTAGTTGCCAGCGACTGGACAAAGGGGGAATGGAAAATTGTAGTTTAATGGGTAGGGTGTCAATGCTATCAGATTAGGATAAAGTTCCGGACAATGGTTGGATCACGCTATAAATATACTAAACACTGCTGGACTGTACACTTACAAATGACTAAGGTGGTAGTCTTTTATCCTTTGTTTTTTTTTTAAACCACAAGAAAAAATTAATGCAAAAAATCATCTCATTGACCTTTCTGCTCCCCCAACCCACCTCTGAAGCAGGATTAGTAGACTTTCATGTTCAAGACTCACTCCATTTATACCTACCTTTCTCTCTCAAATTCCTCTCTAGGGAACTCCATATTTCTCACCACTTTATAATCTGAGTTATGCACTGCTAACCACAAGTGTTCTGAGCAAATCAGAGTGTCCTGTGGTCAGCAGGACCTATTGTCCCTACAAAATAGGTGACATCATTAGACATTTTTCCCAGTCCAAGAAACCCTTCAAAGAATTTATTTGAACACAAAGGATTCTCATCCTAAAAGGAATTCTAGTGAATGAAAGCATTAAGATATTTAGGTTTCATAGCTAATGTAAAAATTAGAAATGTAGAGTAGTGAGATGCTCTATTCCTCTGTGTGACAGAAAATTCTCGTTGTCTTATGACATAATTGTGCAGGTGTATAACATCACCAGGTGCTTATGGATGATGATTCTCTCTTCTTAGAACCTTTCAAAATCAGGGACAATGTATGACCAACAGTGTTTGTTGAATAAAAGTTTCTGCCTGAAGAAAAAAAGATTTCTAAAATTTGAACACAGGAATCAGGTTGCTGATTTTAAAATGGAGCTACCAATAGGCTTAAGTAAGGTGTCCTCTGAACTATTGGCATTTGTGAATTAATCCAGAGCACAGATTGAAGACACTGTGTAACACCTATTCAAATGCAAAACTATAGAATAATTTAAAAGAGCGCCTTTAGTAACCAAGTTGAAAGCCCTATTTCAATTTTCATTGCTTCATTTTGACCATTTCTGTTAGAGCAAGTTTCATAGTTAAAACCCTATGCTGAGAAAGGATGAATAATAAATAAATTCCTTAGGCTGATAATTTCACATGAGGAGGAGAAAATTTCTTCATTTTTTTTTCCATAATTATGCCACATTTCCCACATTGGATATATTTGTTCCACCCCCTTACTTAAAGAATAAACTATTGCATACTTAAAGAACAGAAATCCAAAAAGAGTTGATTTGAACAATGGTAATGACACTAGGCCATGACATTCTTAAGGGTACAGAACATAAATTCTGTGCGGGCATAGCAACCATTTTTCAGATACCTTGTATCTGATCTACTAGAGAACACAGCAAGTCCTATGGAGGTTAAATTAAGATAGTCTCTTAAGAGAGCCTCAAGCCAACTTGGAAACACATTTTTCCAAGACACAGACTGGGGCTTAGATGAGGTCAGAACCTAAGAGGGGTACTTCCTCTTCACCCCCTTTCCTCCATCTCCGCCTCCTCCCACGGCTGGGCTGCCCGAGGATGGAACTGCAAAGGCTTCAAATTACAGGGCAGCCGGAGGAAGCTGCTACTATCTCTGGTATCCAGCCCAATCCTCAGGAC